CCCCCCCCCCCCCCCAATTCCTGTCCCTGCGACACCCAAAAAAAAATTATATTTTGTTTTCTTTTTATTCTCTCTTGCCGTACTAAAAACTAATTTTTTGTCTGTGTCCTCGTCTGATAAATTTTTAAACACTTTCTCTCCCAACAACTGAGTGGAGATCTCCCCATCAGGATCACATTAACCGACAGAGCAATCCTTGCATGCTCAAAAGGAAACAGACAGTGAAATAGAAAGTTTTGACTAGGGCTGGACTATAAAATATACAATATAAAGCAATTTTCACAACTGATCACAAAACGCAAAGTCTCACATCATAACAAGCTGACCACAAGAAAAAATAATCTGCACAATAAATAAATCAATGCAGTGAAGGGATTGTGGCTGCCATTCTATCCGCTTTGCATGTTCCTCAGCTTCCTTAAGCCCAAAGCAATGACAGACTGCATGCATAGAAACGGTTGGACAATGTTCGAACTGTGCCAGTCCCAGCTGGGGTTTTTAGTTCTCTCAAGCAACTCTTTGGGCACCCCTGATCTAGTGCCTACCTGTTTGAGTTTATAGACTTCTATGTTCCGCACATGGTAAGCACTTCTAATTGTATCTTTGGTATATGGAGGGTGTTCAAAATGACCTAAAGGAATGACAGAACATGTAATGCACAGAACTATTAATGAGAGAGTACCAATCACATTTCTAAAACTCCATGGGAGTTCAGTCTTTGCAAACAGCATATTGAGGGATATTGGATACAGTTCAGCAAGCTAAAACACCAAACCACATTCAGCCCAGTATTGATGCACCTGGTTTTTTTGTAATATTGTGTTTGAGAAGACTTACTCTTGAAGGAAGGCTCATCACACTACATGCCAGTGTGGGGCAATCCCTAGTAAGCAGTGATTTAACCAGAATACCCGGTTTTAGTTTTTAATTGATATTATACAGGATTTATATAGTGCCAAAAGTATGCGCAGCACTTTACAATATAAGGAAGACATTGCAATTACAATACAATTCAAGATGGTAAGGAGGGCCCTGCCAGTGAGGGCTTACAATCTAAAGGCTGAACATAAACTGTACACGAGATCTCTCTATATAGATCTATATAGATTAGGGATGGCGATTCCGAGTATTTGGGCAAGTACTCGTCCAAATGCTCCGATGCCTAGCACGAGTACTTCTGGTATCAGGAAGGCGGGCAGCGCGTCATTACACGCTGCCCGGTTTTGCGATTGACCGGGAAGCGGCCCCATGCTCTCTCGTCACTTGTGATGAGAGAGCATGGAGCCGACTTCCCGGCCAATCAGGAAGCCGGGCAGCGTGTAATGACGTGCTGCCTGGCTTCCTGATTGGTCGGGAAGCTGGCCAACCAGGAAGCTGGCCTCGTGAGGTAAGGTTACCTTATCTTAGCATGTGCAGCCTGTCACCCCCGGGGCCTCAGCGAGAATGCGGCCTTCGTCCGGTACCCAGCCGGAGCCGTCCAATCAGGAAGCCGGACGCAGTCTAATGACACGACGCCCTGCTTTCTGATTGGCCGGGAAGCTGGCTTCATGCTCCCTCGTCCTCTCATGACGAGAGCATGGAGCCGGGCTCCCGGCTCATCTCATGACGAGAGCATGGAGCCGGCCTGCCGGCCCCTCAGACAGCAGGGCGTCGCGTCATTAGACTGCGTCCGGCTTCCTGATTGGACGGCTCCGGCTGGGTACCGGATGAAGGCCGCATTCTCGCTGAGGCCCCCGGGGGTGACAGGCTGCACATACTAAAGTAAGAGGGGACTTTCTTGTTAATCCCTGTTTCTTGTCCCTGAATGGGACTTCCGTTACTCGGTAATTTGATAGAAATGCAAATAGAAGCAAACACAGAAGCAATAATGCCAGTTCATTTCTTACCTTTTCTATAATCATGATGTTTGAAGATTCCAGAAATGCCTCCAATTCTGATGCCTCGATATTTCACTACCCCGGCATATCCTGAAAAGCACACAAAATATTATATTTGAAAAACAAAGCTACTGTGATGGCTATACAGTTACTATTTGCACCTGATTTGTAAAGTGAACCTGTCAGGGAATGGCAGAACCATGTCAGGCTTTAACTGCTGCCTTGGTCCCGCTAGATTCTAGATTTGTCGCCTGGAGATACCCTCTGTGTCAGGGGGATCATCAGGACAGCGCTTGAGTAGAAATCTCAGCAATAAAAACCCAAGATCTTTTCATACTTCTACACTCTCTCCAACAACTAAAATTAAAAGATTTTGGCTGAAGTTTTGGCTTTTACGTAGCTGTGCCCAGAAACATCTTTTTTTCCCCCCAGGGTTAAGTTCACCGTCATGGAAATTTGTGCATTTTACAATACAACAATGCCCACCTCTGGTAAAAGGAGATTTCATTCTTATGTAAATTGATCTGGTATCCAAAATGTGAGATTCACTTGGGTATAAACAAGCAGTGATTTTTTACAGTCAGAAGGGTACCGTATTTTTCGCTCCATAGGACACACCCCCAAAAGTCGGGGGAAAATGTGTGTGCATCTTATGGAGTGAATCCCTATTGCCCGGAACATGCAGTAGCTTTCTGTACATTTAGCTCACTTGTATTAAAACCGAACGTTAGTTCTTCGTCTGCTCTGTGTGAACACTGAGACCGTGGCTCTGTAGTCACAGCGCCACCTGTCTCAGCAGTCACTAACTGCAGCTTCTTTAACAGTTTGTCACAGAAACTCACAGAACTTGCCTGCGTCCTATGGTCTGGTGCGCAAAATACTGGAAATATACCGTACACAGAGATAGACAATAGCAGCACATGCTGCAAAGACACTTACCCAGGTAGTAAATATTTGGTGCAACCCAGCCTCCATAAGGTAACTCTTGGAGGTAATTCGACGCCTCATGATTTCCTCCAATGAAGATTGTAAGTATTGGAGCCTTCTTCTCCCCAGAGTAATATCTATAAAACATACAATCAGTCAGAAATGCATGTTTGTACTGATGTTGTTCAAATGTAGTATGTAAACCATAATACTATTAGGTAGGGCTGCAACAACTAATCAACATAATCGATTATAATCGATTGAAAAAGTTGTCAACTTTTTCAATAACTCATTCACATAGACCGTGTTGCCCTCAAGGCCTCGTTCACACTTCATACGTGATCGTACATAATTTTTGTGCGCAACTTGCCATGTGTCAGCCCATTCATTTAAATGGGCTGCCGCTCACACAGCAAAGAAGATCATGCAGCATTTTAAGCTGTGAGCCTCACATGTTTTGACCACGCCTTTGTGTGCATTTGACGCATGGCCCTTCACCCTGCATGGGACAACGACCCCTGTGTGAATGAGGTCTTAAGCTGACCGTTTAATGGCAAGATCACAGCAAAACTGTCCCTAGGTAACAAAGGAACTATGAAGTGCCAACATCTAATGTACAAAGTGACTATCCTCTCATCAATAAAAGCAAACCGTAACACTGTGTTTAAGATTTGAATGTCTCCTTTCACCATAAACAATACAAGTATGTAAATGTATTCAGAAACCATGACAGTGCGTGAAAGTTGTACAACAATTAAATGAAATTCTAACATTAATCGTGGTTTTCGTTTCAGAAACTCCATTGATTCTAAAATCAAATGTTAAAACCAAACCGAAATTTCAAGCAACATTCGTCAAGTCTTTGATGTAATTATCGAATGTTCTGATGAGATTTTTCATGTGAAATGTTTATACGAAGATCTACCAGCTTAAAGGGCAGGCCTTAGGGTAGGACATCGCCCTCTGTGCTGAAAACTACCAGTACGGTTCTCATTATGCTGCACGCTCACATACTGCGTATATTCAAAGAGCGAAAAAGCCTTACTTGTAAAACGTCTGCATCTGACGATACTTTGGGGGCACGGCCATGCATTTCATGTCCCCCTCATTCCTCACTGCCTGGAAGTCACCGCAGCAGAGCAGGAGATCAACTTTAGTGTTGTCTTTCTTCTCCAGGTATTGGATAGTCTCATAGATCTTATCGAGCTCCCCATGACAGCACCCTTCCACTGCAATCTTCATGGCTGCTGTCGTGTGGTCACAACTTCGTGCTCAGAGACAAATGGTTCTTTATACTCTCATCTGCTAGAATAAAACAGCACTATTATAGAATATAAAGATGGTTTACAAATACACACTCCATTTCTCTGTAATCATAAAATCCACCCCCCCCTTTTCAAAATATAAACCTACAAATAATAAAAGTAATGACACAAACAAATCTCTACAGATGTACACAAATTGTAAATGCATGTGACAAATAAACCCCGTCTAGGACCCAACAGGCACTTTGTTTTAGAGGCAACCTTTTGGAAAAACGAATAAATTCACACACACAATCATAAAAGAACAACATTTGCATTTATTTTTTGTTTTGTTTACATAAGAGCCTGAAAAGCATTGCAACCACAATCAGTAGATCATGGGTGCAATGCTCTGCCTCCTGCAGACTGTTCCTCCCGGCACCTGTCCATACCAAAAAGGTATGGACTTTTAGTTAGAGGAACATGAAGAAGAATGAATGGACTACAAGTATGGTGATGGTGCCACACTTATATTTTATTGAGAAATACAAGTCCCTCTGCCAGGGTGGCATCTCATTCACAGATCCTGTCAAATTGTTAATGGATGATGGGGCTGAGCCACGCACAGACACGGCAAATTGTGGCAAAAACCCAGCGATTGGTAATGGAACCATGTTTCATGTTACACTCTTAATCTGGATGAAACAATAAACATTTTAAAAGTAAACTTAGCATTGTAAGCACATTTATCCTTTCAGATAATCATATTCTTCAAACCTCTACTCCAAAATGTGGGTGCAGGTCAGCATTACAAAAATCACATTAATATAGGGCTGCAGCTAACGATCATTGTCATAAATCGATTAGCTGGCAGATTATTTTTTCAATTTATTGCAAATTCTCTCAACTAATCGATAATGAGAATAGTTGCCAACTATTTTCATAATCGATCAGTTATTGCAGCCCTACATTATTGGGAAAAATACTAGCTTTCCTGCCAGAATGAAATATCTGGTGTAACCCAGCTACCAGCCTACAACACGCAAAGGGGATTTACCAAACCTGGAGCAGACACTATCTGAAGCAGTTAGCTGCAGTAACCAGCTTATTTCATTTCCAAAGCTTCACTAAACAAACTGAAGAAGAGCATAGCTAACTGGTTGCCATGCACAGCTGCTTCAGTTATGATAACACCCCCCATTTGTGCAGGCAATCTACTGTTTTCAGTCAGCAATGAGATACATGATGACGATGTAAGGTGATAAGTAAACATTGGATACACAGAAATAATATTTATAATATTTTGGTAAATCTAAAAGGAGATTGTACAAGGACTGACCTAGGAGACTGCAATGTGTAAGTAATACAAATCCAACTAGAATGCCTGCTAACTAAGCTGTGCATATCTGTGAGATAACAATGTAGTTCATTTCACATTATTCCCGTACCAGCAGCAGTATGTGTCAATCCGAGCCTCAGCTCTGCACATCAGCCACTGCCTGGAGGTCCGGCTCGGGATTTGGGCTCCCCAGCAGGCCGCAGCCTTCACGAACACTGAATAAATTGAGGGGATTGGGACTTCACACCCGTACCTCTGGAAGTAAGTGAGCGTTATAACCAAAACTCCCCCCTATTAGTAACATGGTATGCCCCTCTCACACCCAGCACACCACACCATACCATACCTGAGTTCCAGCAACACTCCTTCGTTCGAACCTACCAGACGGCGCAGGAAGATGTCCAGATGTAGTCGTGACGTCACTAAGAAGGCGTGTCTTTCCTCGTCTTCTTTCATTGGTCGCTTTTCTTTACAAAGAAGTGATTCGTTCATATTGAAAGTCGAACTATAACAATGCGTCATAGTTTTGTCACGTGTGCTTTCTCTTGAATACAGGTTAGCTTCAGAAAAATGGCGAATGCACTTTATATTACACGTTTTATTAAAAATGCACGGCTTAAACCCAGCCGATATGTAACGTATACAGCGTACATCACTCACAGGATACATAATAAAACCTGCAGCACATAGTATGAAAAATCTGACAGCCAATTGAGTCAGTAACACTCTCATGATCAGGTGATATGACTCCGAAAGTATCGCTGGAACGCATTGCTGGCACGCAGGAAGAGGAAGTGAGGTTTCCGGGAGTGGACTGCGCGTGCGCAGCGATGGGGTGTCTGGCTGTTTCAGTTCCCCAATAAGAAGCAGGATCTCCTGTACCTGGGCAGAGTGAGTGACGTTCAGTGTAAACAGTCTGCATGTGTGTCACCTGTGTTCATGGGGGTATTAGGGACAGGGTGCGATATATAGATGTGATTATGGAGCATGCCTATGGGAAAGGAATGCATAATTGCTTGAGCTCTTGTAGCCGCTCAATTGAGTAATCACCTTCGTTTCCTCCGTTATTGTGTCGTAATTTTGTGTAAATAATTCCCTCTGAAAACCCTATGGATTGACTATTGTAAGTAGGTGATGTGGTTTTGTAATTAAATAGAACTGAAGCCAAACCTTCACTGAATGGAGTGGAGAGAGATTAGAACATCTGGCAGGTTTTTATTGCTGTTTAAACCAAATTAACAGCGCTAGTAGGTGATTCAAAAAACCATATAATCGTGTTTGTGAACTACAAATCATAAAAAAACCACATCAATGCAAGTGCCGTTAATCAATAAAAAAACACGGCACTGTAATAGTTAATAAACGTGTACGATTAAGAGGTGATTTTTAACCAAGTGCTTCTAGGTGTCTCAGTCAGTTATTTTTACACACTGAGACACCTAGAAGCACTTGGTTAAAAATCACCTCCTAATCGTACACATGTTTAACTATTACAGTGCCGTGTTTTTTTTATTGGTTAACGGCACTTGCATTGATGTGTTTTTTTTTTATGATTTGTAGTTCACAAACACGATTATATGGTTTTTTGATTCACCTACTAGCGCTGTTAATTTGGTTTAAACATCTTCAGACCCAGCGTTCTTTAATACAGCAGTTTGTATTTTACATCACAATATTTATTTATTTGTATTGATGTGTTAACACGATACACTAAAAATTCATCACATTGACTTTGCAGTATTTGATATAAGTAATGTGTTAAGGAAACACTATTTAGGTTTTTATTGCTGTCTGTGTCTCTATTAGGGAGTGTCACCCTCTCTGTTTGTAAGCCACAGGTAATGTATTAAGATAAGTGTACATTTGCAGAGGGGGCAGGTGGGATGTTAGGTATGGGCAGGGGGACAACAATAAAAAGTGACCATGAAGCCTAAACTTTAAACGTTTTGTCTTTAGTTATGGATATAGTTACCCATTTACTGTCAACAAATATTACAGAATGGGGGAATTTATCAAAACTAAAGCAGTTACTCTTGGCAACCAATCGGATTCTCTCTTCAGTTTGAAAATGAAAGATTGGTTACAATGGGCAAGTTCTCCAAATTCTGTCTGCTCCAGGTTTGGTAAATTCCCCTCAATGTGTCTCTTATTTTTAATGTAAGCCTTCAAAGTATCTCTTGTATCTAAGACGATTGTACACTAATGCTGGTCCAACACCTTATAATTTGTTTAGTTCAGCCCATGATTTCCTCACACACGCTTAACTGCATGGATGCAGCAATCATCCCTACTGGCTATTGTATTGTGACAGCCATAGCTAATTGGCTGCAGTCACTGACGATTGTCCACCCGGCATGACCACCCATGGATCGTTATTTCAGCTTATTTTAGCAGTTAACCGACAAAATTAAATGTGTGTATTGGCAGCTTTACCCATAGCAACTACATTACATTCAGTTTGGAGCAATTAGAACAGGATTGGGTGGCCTTCCAGCTGTGCATTAACTACAAATCCCATTATGCTTCTGGGAGTCATGCCTGTGGCTGTCAGTCTTGCATTGCCCCATGGGAATTGTAGTTCCACAACAGCAGGAGGGTCAGAGTTGTCCACCCCTGAATTAGAACAATGGAAGATGATTACAGATTGAGTGCTTACTGCTCATTTGCCTTTTTTAAATAAATCACTTGATATCAGCAACTGTTTTATTACACACGTAGCAGGCGTGACTTCTACTGTGTACGCTGAGTAGTCTGGAATGTGTTGCAGTGGTGACAGTTTAGGATTTTCATTATCTCTATAATCTCATTGAGAACAAAAACAGACATATTGGAGAAGCTGACTTTCACCAAAACCTTCACGAGAGTGAAAACAATCCCCTCCCTAAAAGTGTGATATGATTTAGCATTATAACACAGTCCTCGTTGTAGGTGTAACTCTGTGTGTGTTGTGGATTTCAGTTTTACAAAACATTCAATCCATTATGTTGTGATTGTCACAGTAAACATTACAATGGGAGAGTCTTCTCTGCAAGAGCAGTGTGATAATCACTATTAGCATATGAATTTCTAAATCTGATCTCTTCCTGAAAATGTCTACACAGAGGGGGGAATTTATCAAGGGAGTTGCTCCACTTTTCTTTAAGTGACAAATTGTTCACGTTATTTGCACCTTATTTATCAATGCAGTCTAAGCCTTGATAATAAATGTAATTTTCATTAGACATGTTGGGGGGAATTTATCATAGCAATTGCCAGTGTTTGAACTTGCACGGAATATATTTGCACCAGATTTATCAAGCTCGTGTAATGTTGTTGATAAATGAGGTTTAATAGACTCCAGGAAAGAAGACTCGTAACTTCAGGCAAAAAGCTTAACTGTCGCTTCTTGAAGAAGTAGTCATGGGGACTTCTTAAAGGAGAACTATGAGATGAGTGATTTCCACTCACCTCATAGTTCTAGCCGACCTGTGACAATGAGACTGTCACAGGTCAGCTCAGTAGATCAGGAGGTGAGCGAACAGATACCGGCGTTCGCTCACCTCTCGATCCTGTCACGGCTCTCTGCCGTGACAGGGGAGGGGCTGGATTCCCCTCTCCCTGCTCCGCCAGCGCTGACTGGTGGGACGGACAATGGGAGGGGGCGGGTACAGCTGGCTCTGCCTCTGGATAGGCAGAGCCAGCTGTCACTCACGCAGCTGGGCGGATCCCGTCATCTACGTCGGGATCCGCTCCGGCGTCTCAGTATACCGCGAGCTCTAGCTCGCGGTATACTGAGCTTAGGGTAATGGGAGCACGCTAGTTTGTGTCCTCCCGTTACCCTAAGGAGAACTATGGGGAAAAACACTGACCCCATAGTTCTCCTTTAAGTTGTGAGTGTTTTCTTAGGTGATGCTTCAGTTTCATAGAGCCCAAAACAAGTGCAGATGAAAACAGGGGCAAAAAACATGTAATTGAAAAAGTATTGCACGCTCTGAAGAAAACAGGTACAAAACACGTGCAACAAACGTGCAGTTGGAAAACTAGTGCAAGCTCAGGTGAAAACAGGGGCACATGTTAAAAGACAGATTTGCGCATAAAAAAAATGATCAAAGAGGCTAAAACTGTCGTAATTGCTTTGATAAATTCCCCCAGAGAGACCACTGTCTTTTCATAACCAAAACACAGACACTGCGATACTAAATGTGCTCTGTCTTCGGTTTAATGGCTCCTGAATTTCCTCCAAAAGGAACTTCTTAACTACACTGCTAACACCCTAAAGTGTCACTTAATGCTCCCCCTTAAAGAAGCACTCTGGGCAAATAAAAACTTAACCCTTACTACCCCTGCACTGCAAGTGTTAAAAGCTTGTTTTCTGTTCTTGTTATTGTAGTCCAATGAAGTGCGTTGAGGAGGGTCGCTACATTCCAACATACTGTGGGACCATGTAAAACAAACATAGCCACCCTCAGATGAAAAGTAGGGGGAAGCAGATTTTAAATGGATATTATGTTCCATTCACATATAGCGTTTTGCGTTTTCCGTGCGGCAACGCAAACGTTTAAATATTTAATCCAAAAACGTGTTTATTTCTATGTTGTTATTTTTCGTGATATGTTTATTGATGGGAAATATTTAATAATAAAAAATATCTGATTAGAAAAAAATATATCTTTCATCCGAATGGATTCCACACGTTTGCTGCTATTATATAGCCGCGAACGTGCGGAATCCGTAAACAAAGTTTCGCTTGGGCTATTTTGCGGGCCGCGCAATACGCCGCAAAAGTCTGAACAATGCACATTAAAGTATGTTGTTTTTTTCTGTTTAGAGCAGCTCCGTGCGTATTGACAACCGCTCCTGTGTGAATGGAGCCTTAGGTTGTGCTGGCCTGTTTCGGAGGGAAAACATTTACTACAAATCAAAGAATGGAATATGATATTTTTGGGGGTTTTTTTTGACACTTTGATCTTTACTGGTTACACGAGTCATAAAGTTCTGCCACTGTTATTTCCAGTGTAATGGGCCATGTTTATTAGTTTTGTGAAGGAAGAATTGCCTTAAAAAGGAAGTTTGTCTGGAGTTTGGCACACTTGAGGTAACTTTTTTAGGATGGGGAGAATTTGCAGACTCCACTCTGATAGACCTGATGGGAATGAAGTCTGTGTATTCGCTTTCATGGGAAACTAAAGTGCCATACTGTTTTCTTCAGTAATTATATACAGAATTAGCCATATTTGCCTTTTAAATAAAGATAACAGAAAATATTAACTGGGAACCTATACTTTTGTGGGGGCAACTAAGCTAAACTGTCAGAATTTTATATGAATGTGCACCTTTATATTGCAGTGGAGTCAGATCCTGGAGAGGATGACCTCAGTGCCAAGGGCTGGGACTCAGGGAAACTTACCATTGAAGGTACCGGATCATTTACCAATCTTGAAGATGAGCTGAATAAGTCCCAAACCCTCCTCGGGTACCTTGATGTGGACAAGGAGCTGGAAGCCAAGCAGGATTTGGTAAATGTAAATAGATCTCTCTCTCTCTCACACACACTGTCTTGCTCTCTCTCTCTCACATACGATCTCTCTCTCTTTTCCTACAGGATGGGGTAAAGTTAAACCACAGTCACAAAGTAACTAAAATTTTAAAAGCATTTTAAGGATTAGATTAAGGTTATATGTAAAGCCTCATTCACATGAACATACACAGCCGTATAGCGCACAGTCTACATCCAAGGGCGTGCATCCATAACTGTATGGATGTGCAAGTTTGGGTAAGCACATAGCTATGTGCAGCCATGTCATTAGGATGTACAGGTGGCTACATACACCAGCTGTCCCTCTTGGGCTTAGGTTTCTGCATGGATGTTCAGGCTGTACGGCCCCCCACAGTTGCATCATTCATTCACAGATCCATTCACAAGATCTGCAAATGACAAAACTTCAGTCCCATTCGCAACTGGAGCAGAGACACTCAAGCAGAAGTGTAGTGACATCATCGCACTTGTAGTCCATCAATAACTTCCTGCAGGAGCCTGTACATTGCACCCGTGATCCACTTATCATAGTGGAAATGATTTGCAGGCTCCAAATCAAACAATTTTTAAAATTAAGAATTACCCCCTCTAAACTGGCCTCCTCTACCCCTTGCTATATTTACTTTTGGGCGAACACTTCTTTCCCTCTGCTGGTGCCGGTGAACTATCCGTACCCCATACTGCTGTGTAGCGCAGCCCTGCACTCTGGATTTTGAATTTCGCTTGCAAATGGCAAGCACTCATTGGTCAGCACGGTCACCTAGCTGCGCTGACCAATGAGAAGCGTTTCTTAGCAAGAAGGGCTTCTCATCGGTCAGCGTGGTCAGAAGCACTTTTCATTGGTCAGCGAGGTCAGGTCAGGAGTAAATCCATTTTTCCCAAATTCACCTGGGAAAGTGGAATTACCCTTTAAAGGTTACCTCAGAGTCCTGCAGCAGAAACCTCTAGCCATGGCCAATGGCAGAGTTAGGAGAGATATTGCAGCTAACTGTGCCTCGGCAAGGACAGTGGTCCCTACTCCACTCAGTGATGTTCAACGATCTATGTCAGACATTGCTAGGAAGCCCCACTGGCAGAGGAGAGCTTGCTACTTCTGAGTCACAATTACCAAGGCAGCTCGTTTCAGGGTCACTAAGCCTTTTTCAAGCCCATACAGCACATGTGCATGAAACTATTTATAAAAAGTAGATGCTTCTTGCTGCACTCCTTGCCAGATTTCTGTAATAAATACAGGTGGGTGCTTGTAGTGACCACGGTTGGCGCCGTGAACAGTACGCAGATTCAAAAGATGTCAGCAGCACACCAATCCATTTGTGTTCAGCAAATGTCCATTTTAATTACACAAATTTCCATTCAATTCCAAGTACTTTCGGGGCCTCGCAGGGTCCCCTTCATCAGGCTCAGAATGACACCTTGTAAAACCATCACCTTCATCATATAGACATACAAAACCAGTGGAAGGTGATGGCCTCGCAGGGTCCCCTTCATCAGGCTCAGAATGACACCTTGTAAAACCATCACCTTCATCATATAGACATACAAAACCGGTGGTTTTGTATGTCTATATAATGAAGGTTGTTTTGTATGTCTATATAATGAAGGGGATGGTTTTACAAAGTGTCATTCTGAGCCTGATGAAGGGGACCCTGCAAAGCCCCGAAAGTACTTGCAGTTGAATGGCAATTTATGTCATTAAAATGGGCATTTGCTGAACACAAATAGATTGGTGTGCTGGGGACATCTTTTGAATCTGAAACTATTTATAGCTACATTGACCATGAGGTTCTTTTCAAGTTTCCTCTGTCTGAAAGAATTTAGAGACCTATTGGATTTATACAATAAATGCTTTGGTCCATATACCGTAGTTCTCAACAAAGAATTAGATAAAAGCATTATCCTTTAATATCCCTTATGTTTTATTCTTTTTGTTATGTGAGAGATAGTCTGCGCTCCTGGATCAAACTAAAATAAATAAAACCTAAAGCAGCTGAGAGATGAAAAGATTGTCGCCTGTCTTTTAGTGGCCATCATAACCTTTTGTTATACTCTATTATTTGATGATATATTCTAACGTTTATCATTAACTTGTTCCATATTCAGCATTACCCTAGTTTGTCACTATTTTTGGATATTTCGTTTTGCCACTATGCAATTCAAGACATTTATTGATTTTTTATTACACCAACCCACGATTAATTTAATTTCATTGAGGCTGTGTTATACACGCGGCTTTTTCTACACACAATCTTTAAACATTTGTTTTTATCTGAATATAATGTATTCATCCTAATTACTTATTTACATGTTTATATCTTTAATTAATTTAAACCTTTAGCGCTTGGTTATCACTTTTTTATTCTTTTTGTACCTAATTTTAGATCTTAGTTACTACTAACATTGATTTCCACATTAATACTGTATCTCCTCAGCAGTGATTCTATAGTTTTTTACATTTTATTAGTAATATTTTGTAACTTGTGAGATTTAGCGCCAAATTTAGAGCTTTTCATGAACTCCACTCCAGGCAGTAAAGTACATTTAGGGGTTGATGTCCACTTTTATTTAAAAGAAAAAATGTTCAACACAAAGGGGGTTACCCTCACAGGAAATCAGCCTCCTGGCTTTTCGTTGCAGAACCCATTGCTCTGGATCTCAGTGTTGAAGCCCCTTTCTGTTCCTCCACAGAGAGTCCTCTCCAAGCCTATAAACACAGTTCGGCTGCCCCTGCAGCTCTGGCTCGCTAGGCTAGTCAGTCCCCTGACTCTAGGCTCACTTCTTTTGTGAACCAATTCCACCCAAAATTAATTGGACACCTGACCTCAGGCACCCTTTCCTGTCTGGATTGTTTCTCCCTAAGTCAATATCTACCTCTCTTAAAAAGACAGACTGCCCTCTGTCACAAACTATTAGGATATTATTGTTACAATACTTTCCCCTTATTGTTACAATGTATTCTGCTGGTCTGAGTTATCCCCAATGATATTTAGTGATAGGTCTCCATCTAGTGTCTCAAAGCTATTATTACCATTTTATTTCAATCATTCACCAGTGAGCTTTAACTATTTATGATTTATGGGTTTTTATTTTTGATATATGTAAAGTTACCTGATTTATTGCATAATTGTAATGTATTCTACGGCTGTAATCCCATGGGAAATGTGGCTATAAATACTACAAAGCACATATGCTATATAGGCTTCAGAAAGGGATTGTGATAATAATCATGAAGTAGCAAGCTCTCCCATGCCAGAGGAGATCCCTAGCAATGTCTGATGCTGCTCACTGAACATTTCTGAGTGGAGCGGGTGGCGGCATGACCGATGAGAAGCCCTCCTTGCAGCTTACAGCTAACTGTAATATCTTTCTTAAGTCGCTACTCCCCCATTGTGCATGTAAATACAATATTCTTTTCAATTTAAAACAAAGTGTTGTTGGTAACGTCTCCCCCTTTTCTCTTCATTGAAATGTTGACTGGTGATCCTCTATGAAAAACCTTGTTTAGTCACTTTCTCTTTGAAGCCACTTCCTGTCTACATGCATGCATTTCCTGTTATAGCATGACCGTGCTCTGTCGCTGTTTCCATTATGTTTTTTGTGGCAATACATTTGCACATTGCATAGGGATGGTCCATTGTTGTCACCATCAGAAAACCCACCTTAACAAATAATGTGTAACAGTTCTCAACGTGCACAAATGTGGACAGGAAGTAGCTTCAAAGAGGAAGTGCCAGAATATTTTCATGCAGGATTATGCCGTACAGTAAACTCCCAATTATCTGGCATTCAAGCAACCAGAACTCTCAAGCATTCAGAAAAAAAAGGATATAATATATATAATGTATGTCCTTAATTTTTTTTTTGCCAGTTGCTTGATAGACATGTGCACACTAAAAAAATGTTGTTAGCAACTTAATTTATTAAGAGGCATGAAAGAGGTAGTCTGTGTCAAACAAGAATATTATCTTAGATATCAGCCTTTGATACCATCTGCATTCCACATATAATGCCATTTTAACATCTCTATCCCAGCACTTTGACAACAATTCGCACCTTTAGCTATGTAAATCAAAGCATTAATACCTAAGCAGGCTTCCTGACACAAGGGTGGGGGGTTATGTAATTAGAATAGGGTGGTTCCACAACTTTCCATCCTGTCCTTGGACAATCACATTCCATGGTGATTGAATTAAGTTTTACCTGTGTGGATTTAAATGCTGCGGTATCTTTCTGACACTCATTCGAACTAAAGAAGTGGCTTGGAGAATCTATGACATGTCTAGTGATACCATAACCAGGATAAATGAGAATCTTCACAGACACATTAGGGCAGTATTCATTAGTGGAGGGAAATCTGCAGGAAAATATTGGACCCAAAAAGTATCTAAGAATGGGAATATAACTAGTATACAGTTCTAATGTATTTTCCATGTTTGTTACACATGCCTTATTTTACCTAGGGGCAAATATAACATTGCAGATGCAGCTACACAGGGGCGTTAATGGGATTTAGGTACCAATGTCACAACTTTGTATATCAAGGAATACCTCACACCTGGATGCCAGTAATTTACTTTTCCTATATGAATCAATGTCATCCATTGAGTTAAAGGATCCAATGGACTGTAAAACAAAAAGTAGACAATATTCCTCATTATTTAATAACTTAAAGCTACACACATAGTTAAAAACTAGCAATGGTTGCTAAGTAGGATGAGTCGTCACAATCTTCACCACTGTGCGTCTAGGAGTACTGGTCACTACCAGTTACCCTGATGCACAGATAGTTGTGTGTGCATATAAGGGACTCCATCGGCATAGACCAAGCAACCAAATTTCCATAACTGAAGAATCCCGCATATCAATTGTTGATCATGTTACCAGTCTATCTCAAAAACGTATCCCCATACCTAATAACCGACAGTTCCATCAAAGTAAACTAGGTATCATCCAGAAGGGACTAGAGTTTCCGGATACAAATGTTTGTCGTGTATTAAGGTACTATTTGCATGATACGTAAAATCGCATGGGACATTGGGACACCTCATCTACTGTCTGCCTATCTACATAATCTATTCAGCCAAATTTATTAGGTAAATAAGTGCTTGTACTTGTACAGGGACTCTTTGACCATGTAAGGCTCATGTGGTGGACCTGTACATTTGCATCAGCAAGCAGAAAGCCACAGGTTTTCTCCTTTTGGTGTATGAGAATAATTGTGAATGAATGAAATATAAAAGTTTTTAGTTTTGTGGTGGGTCCTTCTATCACAACATATTAAGTGTTTAATCTTGTCTTTTTCTCGTTTTTGTTTGCAATGCCACATGTAACTCAATATTTACTGAAATCACCTTTTAGATCGATGATAAAGAGTTTGACATTCCTCAAGTTGACACTCCACCAACACTGGAGAGCATCTTGAATGAGGTGAGTCTTTTACACTTTCTGTAGCATATGGCATTATTCTTCTCTGTGTAAATAACTTGTTCCTGTCATTTTCCTATGGAAATGTGTCTGAGACCACTCTCTTAAGGTGCCCATACACTGCTCGATTCTCGTATGAGAATCGCGGGAAATCCCGCGATCGTACGAGAATCGAACAGTGTGAACGAAGACGTGCGACCGTTTCTAATGTACGGTCGCACGTCTTTTATCTAAGGAGCATGTTAGAAAACCAGCCGAGAATCGTACGATTTTCGGCTGGTTTAAACAGTGCTCGGGGAAGAAAAATGCCAAACGGGCCGGTGTGCGCACGCGCACACTGCCCGTTCAGCATTGCGGTCATCGGAAGCCCGCCCCTCAGGGGGGCAGGCTTGCGATGATCGAGAGTGTGATCTGCCTGTCCAAGATGGGCAGATCGTACGTTTTTTTAATCACTTTACAACCATCGCAAGACTAAGGTCTTGCGATGGTTGTACAGTGTATGGCCACCTTTAGAAAGCTGGCCATTCATGCTAGCATGGTTCGGTTATTGCCTCTCCTATAAGGAAACCTGTACTAAGAGAGGCATGGGGGCTATGTTTTTTTATCCTTATGAAATTGCTAATTGCCATGTTTTATTAACCCCTTCAAAATAACCTAAAGAACATGTTAACTAAATTCCTGTTAGTTTCAGCTGCAGCAGGCTTCCGACATCACTTTGATCTCCCGCTGATCGATCTGTACACACTCTGAATGATCCCTATGATTAGCGAAATCATGATGATCAAAGGAAATGTTGTGCCCAGCAACAAACGTACCTACTGCCTGGTACATTTTAGTAGTTTTTCTTTGCTTACAGCAGCTACAGCTATGAGGAGAGAATGAGAATACAACAGGCAGTGTATTCTGTAAATCATCTATAAATCACATCTATCACATTCAGTACAGCACATTGATGGAAAATGTCTCATATCTTGAAATTTTAAATATACATGCTTGATTATATTTTATTGACCATACAGCATTGACATATGTATTAAAACCTACACATATCTGATATCTCTGTACTCAGGATAAATAGGGGAAATTATTTATTAAAACTATTTTGAATAAAGTTATTTATAAAAGAGAAAGTATTTATTAAACAAACTGAAACACTTTTTTCATGTTTGTCCAGTTTTCTGATTTTTTTTTTCTTTATATATAATTTAACCAGTTGACATCCGCGGTGTTAAACCCCCTTCCCATCCAGGCCATTTTTCAGTATTCAGCACAAATTACCAAATGAAGACCCAGTTTGTGCTTAAAAAAATTATGTGAAAATCACTTTGGTATGCAATGTGGTTAAAAAGCTATTGTTGACTTAATCCTGTGCATTCTAAAAATCTAAAAATTCAGTCTGGTTTTGATCACCCCTGAAGTTAAGAGTTAAACTTCAGTACAAAGCACGAGTCAATGAAAAAGTGTGGTTACAAATTATTTTGGTAGGGACTGGATAAGTGTTCCATGTTAGTGGCTCTAAAAATATTGAAGCCTTTGGAATATTATTACAGCTAGACATTTTTGTATTAGTATTGGCAGGCTTGGTTGTATCTTGCTCCAGGAGTAGTCATGCCAAATAGCATAGAGCTATTCAACTCAGTTACTGCCATGGAGTAGCCTGCAGTACAATATCCTTTCTGGAATCATACACACAATGTCATCTGGGTTATAGCTATTTATTCTGCATTTATTACTAGGATTATTGAACAAGGACCTTGAATTTAATCAATTTCCTGTTTTCTACAGACAGATGATGAAGATGAACCCTTCATACCGGAAGATCCTGCGCTGCTGAATGTAGAGACTATTGACACCCACTCCTGTGACACGTCATCATTGGCTAGCTCTGACAGTGGTGACCGGACACACAAGAGGTATATTTAAATCTATTACTAAACTCGGATTTACTGGAGTCATGAATCGCTTCTTATTTTCAAACTATTTGCCTTAACAGAACTACACCAGCACTGCCAATGGGCTTGAAAATAAATTAAACCTGAACACTGCTGAAAAATGTGTATTTATTTATTTAAAAATTAAATATTTAATATTCAGAAATGTACATTTGAGGCATGCAGTACAACCTTTTTGCATACAAACACCTGAAATAATGCCCATGAATATCCAGTTGGCAACCCTCCCTAAACATACAAAAGATCTATATATAAATATATATGCATATTTTAGAGGCTGTACACAAGTTAGTCCTGATAGCAAGCAAGTCAATTTTTTTTGTGTCTAAACCTATTCCCCCTATTGCTGCTTGAAGTGAACACCAAACTGGGATGGATCCAGGTCCTAGATAACAATTACCAGTACTTAAAAATTATAATTCAAACATCTGAACCTAAATGTAATATTAAACCTCTAATATACACAATTTATCACCAACACAGCAATCGTGCAAAACATTTTGATATAATATATCATTTTAAGTTGTACATTTAACTATTTTTGTATCGGTAATATACAGTAAACTCTTAGTTATCCAGAATTCAACTAACCAGAACTCTCATCTTAAAAAAAAACCCTGTCTACTCGCTGTTTTGCTGATCTGCTGCATGTATTATCCTGGAAACGATAATGCGTCTATTTGTCTTAATTTGCTCTTGATTACTGCATTTCAATATTAATATGAACTCAATGCAGAGTTTGTTATGATATGGTATAGTATGGGGTGTGGCATTAGCTAGACCTATTTTTAATAGTAACTCTCAAGCAAATAGAAACTACATTTATCCTTGTAAAGGAATCTTTCTTGTACCAAATATTTATATTCCCACAAGGTTTAGAGCCTTTTTATACTTGCTGCAGTCTCCATAATATTGAATATTAAATTAAAAATCCAAAAGGGTAAACAGGATCTAGAAAAACTGGCAGACTTGTACATTTTTCAATAGTGAATTGTTGTATAACGTGTGTTCTTTTACAGGTGACAATTTATATTGAATTTGATAAATGCATGTTGTTTGTAAAACACTCCTTGTCTTATGTTATCAGAAAGAAAAAACTAGCAGATGCCTTTTCCCGCCACGGATCTGTGTTGCGCCACATGCTGCTTAAAGGAGTTTCTGCTCAGATCGTGTCTGCTGCAGTAAGTTGTAATACTGCTTGAGTATATAAATGAAGATGAACCATACGATTCCCTGTGTAATTACAAATACAAACTTTACATCCACAAATATCTGAAGCTCTGAAAAATGTATTGACCAGTTATCAATATAGGGCCATATATTAGAATAGCCCTAAGGATGCCATAGATGTGTTGTGTGTACAGATCAGTTTAATCAGCATCTAATATTCACTGTAATTTATTGAATATTCCTTCTGTAAAAATATATTGCTATAAAATGGCATTATTCATTGCATCTAAGTGAACAGATTTGATCTTTCTTTAGTCTCAAAGTTTAGCAATAGAGCCTTTGTATACACATACGTCAGCGAACCTTTTAGTGTACCCTAGAGGAAAGTAGATGAGAGGAGCCAAGCTACTGCTTAAAGTGTGCCTGTTATAAGAGACACTGAGGTCATTGCTCCTTATAAAAATGCTAGCCACCTGATTGGGTGTTACTTCAATTAAACTGAATCATTTACCCAGAACTAGCATGAGTCAAATAATAATTATGTATGTATGAATGTAATTATCTGCGTTGCCACTTCTACCTTGCTTTTTAAGGCTGAACTCCAGACTTGGAAAAAAAAAACCCTTTCGGTGAGCCCTC